AATTTATTTTCTTTTGAAATATTTGAGTGATTTATTGCTTATTGACTTACATAAAGTATGTACCTACAACACTAATATTATTTTGGTTATGCACTATCTAGGAAATTTTGATTTAATTTATAACTAGAGATGTCATTTATTGAACATGAAGCATCAGGATCACAAGCATTATATGTTTGTTTGATCCTTTGTTGGATAATAATGTGTGATTTATTATTTTTTATATTAAAATATTTGGAATTAACTAAGGTTAAAGGTGCTTTTGATGTTGATTAAAATATTTAAACACAAGATTACAAAGTATAAGGTTAAGTTCGAAATTCTTTTCTACCACTAGATAATTTCAATTGAAAATCCAACGTTTAAATTAGAGAACTACAAGAGAGGAACCCTAATTAAATTTGGAGACAATCCAACAACTAATGAAAGATATATTAGTCTTTGAATCTCAATTTTCAAATTAGGATTGTACTTTTAAAATCCTCTATTTTCAGTTGCACAAAAAACTCACGGAATCTCCATTCCAAAATCTGAGTTATCAAACTTTAGAATCCAATGTTCTGAATTTTTGTCAAAGTTTGAATTTGATCCTTTGATCCAAATTTATTATAATGCTACAGACCTCTGGTAAACAATCACACCATATAGAATGAAGACTGAGATACATGAACTTGATGAAAAAACTTTAACTTGATTTTGTTGTGGACCTGAGCAATGCCCATATCCTTGGAAAACCCAGATGACCCAAGCTAAAAGATAAGCTCTATAAATAGGAATTAAAGACCACATCTCTACGACTAATCTCTCTAAAATCTATTTATGCAATCACATAGCCCACACACCGGCCTTCTTGGCTAAGACCGTTATATCGTGTGTCGTGATTCGTTATCCCCAGGATATCTAATCCATAAGTATATAGAGAGAAAGAGCACCAGATGTAACATTAGAGCTGTCAAAACGGGTCAGCCCAGCCCATTTAGCCCTAGCCCAAGTGGGTTAGGGCCAAAAAGCCCACAATGATATAGATCCACACGGGCCAAAGCCCTATGGGTTAGGGTCAGCCTGCGGGCCTTCTAAAAAAATATGTATTTTTTTAAAAAAATATTTATATTAAAATGGTGCATAGAAATTATTAGAATAAATAAAAATAAATAATTTTTAGAAAATTGTCACTTTTTAAAAAAATTATTGCATAGAAATTTTTTAGTAAAATTTTTTGACAGAAAACGTTTTTGTAAAAAAATTGACGAAAAAAAAAATTCGTCAAATTTCTTTACAGAATCAAAATTTCGTAAAAGTTTTTGACGAAAAAAATTCCGTCGAAATTTTGACGAAAAAATTTCCGTCGAAATTTTTGACGAAAAAAGTTTTTGTTGAAATTTTTGACGAAAAAAATTTCCGTCAAAACTTTTGACAAAAAAAATTCCGTCGAAATTTTTGATGAAAAAAGTTTTTTTCGAAATTTTTGACGAAAAATGTTTCTATCAAAATTTTAAACGGAACACATTTTCGTTAAAAATTTTCCACGAAAGTTATTTCTGTAAAAAACTTTGACGAAAATATTTCTGTAAAAAATTTCAAAGAAAAAAATATTTTGTCAAAAATTTTTACGAAATCTAAATTCCGTCGAAAGTTTCACAGATACATTTCCCTCAAAAATTTTGAAAAAAAATATTTCCGTTATAATTTTCATTGGGTCACATTTTCATCGAAGATTTTGGACGAAAAATATTTCGTCAAAATTTTTGAAGGAATTCTTTTTTCCGTCAAAACTTTTGATGAAATTTTTTTCATTGTAAATTGGGTTGAATATTGTAGCCCGCGGGCCAGCCCCAACCTAACCCTATAATGAGAGGGCTTTAAAAGGATGGGCTTAAAATGACCCTATTACATAAAGGGCTAAAATTTTATAGGGCTGGCCCTAGGGCTTGAGCCCTTTTTGACAGCTCTATCTAACATCAACTAACTAACCCTTGGTTAGACCTCTCTATCACACACGCAGAACAGATTTAAACAATAAAACAAGGAGATATCAAAGAGGGACGATAACAGCTGCTCCTTCTTCTCTTGCATTTTGTCACTGTTGCTACTCTTACTCTCATTTCTCTTGCAATCTGACTGCACTTCTTATACACGTGGGAATTTTAGTATTTGTCATTTGCACTGGGGGGGGGGGGGACACCCTACACCTAGCCCACATCTTGTATCCTTTGAACCAATTTTTTCAGATTTGGATGGGCCATTAAATCAGTGTTTTTAAATTTTTTTCAAATTATAAGGTTTAATAAGCGTTAACTAAGAAAAAAAAGTAGAAATATTTTTTTATTATAATTGAATTGATTTATTACATAAATAAAGAGAAAAAAATTTATGTTACATAAAAATTCAATTCTTGACTCTTCGATTTGCGTGTGCAAAGTTTTTCTTTTTCATTTTCTCTTTTTAATAAATATGAGACTCACCACTAGTTGAGTCACATTATGAGAATTCAATTCTCATACAACATGAGAAAATTAAACCCCCATAAACAAATCAACATCAACATCAACAACACTTTTAACCCAAACTAATTGGGGTCGGTAGTAGATGAACTCAAATGAAAGATACGAAGCGATTGAAAAAAAGATAAAAATAAAATTTAAGTATATATTTATAACATCAATAAATATTAAAATAAAAATATTGTACTGATACTATCATAATTTTCTAACAAATATTAATCCCATATTAAACAAATAAAAGAGAAAGAAGTGAAACTTATTAGCATATCTAGTTTAGAAGATGGATTGAGTTTGGGAAATAGGTTTGCCAATGCAAATCAACTCGTTATTTGTAGCAAATTAAGCATGTTGATTAGACGCGTAAAATCCTTATTGGCATCACTAGTTTCAGGAGGAAGAAGATGCTTAAATGAGTGGAACCCATTTTTGTTATATTTTATGATCAGTACTCCGTCACACACTTTTGGTATCGATTTGCACGTCGGTAAAAATTCATCAATAAATTGATCGACCAGTAACGTATATATGATTTGTTCATACTTGAGACCAATAAAGCAATAGTTATGTTTTCTTTCGCAATCCATGAACGGGAGTTTAAGATAAATGCCCAAAGAAAAGTTGTTTTGGAGTTTCTATCGTCCCATGCACGGAAACTAACCCATGATAGTTCCCGATTGGATCCACCAAACCAAAAGAGGAACGTTTCCATCACCAAAAGATTAATATAAATTCAGCGGAACTAATTTGGGTGCAGCAAGTACTAAAGTATTGACACATGATTAATTATTAGTAAATAAATATTATATTTTAAAATATAAAATTACAATATATTTTAAAAAAAATAAAATCTTCATTGTACTTTCCTTTACAGAGTGATACGTGTATTTTAAAATTTTTCAGAATTTTAAATTATATATTTTCTTTATAACTATATATATTTTCCTCTTTTAGTCTATTTTTCTTATTTTGTTTAAACAAGATAACTCATTTGACAGCTCGATTCCCATCACCACGTGTATTGTTATCATCAAATGATTTTAGTGTTCCATTTTTAAAATTATTTTTTCTTTCTAATCTTGCCTAGGAGATAGAATCCCGCCCAATATATACTGGGTCCTCCGAAGCCCAATTGTTCTCGTGAAAATGGTAGATTTCACAAAATTTTACCATTTCAGACCCATTAATAATGATAACTACCATTAAAACATTAATAGAAGATAATTATACATGAATTAATAGCAAAAATATAGTTTTCCATTTCTGTAAGATCCATTTAGACACGGACCAATGTAACAAAAGCCTTTGTCAATTGTCACCTGGCCCTGGTCTTGCGCTATTGTTTAACCCATATTAAGATACCAATCCAACTAGTACAAGTACTATTTAGTATGTGATTAAAAGCTGGCTTGCAATTACATACATGATACCACATCAATGCTGATTCAAAGTCATTAGATGAGATTGAAAGAGAGGATGAGGATACGGGAGGAACAAAGATTCTGCAAATGGATAACCATTCACAGGATGAAAATATTTACATGCACACAACAGAGGATCGGGTTTGCTTTCGTGAAAGCAAAAGGCCAATAGCAAAACTAAAAATTAAACAAGAAGATTGAGAGATCATTTGCTCTAAAACCATAAGAAATGACATAGATTTCTAAATGTTGAATCCATCCCATGTCATATATAGTTGAATGAAACTCTTAATTTTACCTCTAATAATTTGTCAACCCAAAACTTACAAGGCACAACCCTATATTTCTAAGTAATTTATTAACTTCGTGAGCATGCAGAAGCATATCAACACAACATGCCAAATCATCACCATACACACATAATGTGCAACATTTGAGTAGCACTGTAGCAGTTTCTCAAAATATGACAAAATGATTTGAATCACCATGCATATTTAGCATTCATACGTTACCATTATATTTTTGTTTACATGGGCTATACCTGAGACCGTGATTTCAATTAATACAAGCTTCCCCTCATAGTTCTCCAGAGTTTTATCAACAGTGTTTCATTACTCTCTTAAGGCATGTTACATGTAAAGGTCCACATTATTCTTCCATTTTCAAAGAATTACACAACCTCAATCCATGAGGGCAAACAACTCGGAGCAGTGGTGAGGTTATTCTTATATAACCGGAAAGTTATATGCTTCAGTTCAGGAACACATTTCGAACCAAACCCATAACTACGATTTTATAAATAATAAGAACTGGAAAATCTACCTATGTTAACCTTTTATGCAACATAGTTTTAATAAATAGATAGGAAAAAAAACTAAAGTAGTCTTCGTGTTCTTTTGATAAGCATCATACTCAGAATACTTCTGTTTCACATGGAATCACTACTTGGCATACATGACTCAATTATTGTTCTTAGATTTCTACTTCACAAAAATTGTGAATCATTGAGGAGCAGACTTGATACAATCTGTTATCAAGCAAGGACAGGCTGTTTAAGAAATTTGATGTCTAATAATGTTGAGTCAACTACCCAACTAAATATTTAAAGGAACTCTGCAGTGCCAGGTAGATGAGTTTCCCACTATAGTCTGGACCATTGTCACATACATACAATTAGAAAGATCCAATAACTATATTTAATAGGAATAGGACAAATTAGATGTAAGCATATTTTAATTTCAAGTTTTCAACTGCATCTTCATGTATAAGATACTCTTGAAAAATAAAGGCCAAAATATGGTTCATGCAATTTAGACAACAAAAAGCTTCTTTGCTGGAGGGCCTGCAATCAACATAGAAATTATGGCTGAATGATTCGGTAGCACTTTCATCAAATAAATATGGTTGATCCGTAGTTACAAGCATTTAGCTGTTAACCACACATTAAACAACTTTATCCTCCATAAGTTCAATAATGATTTTTAAGAGAACAAATAATTAATCACTGATTATTGTTTCAACAGAAAAAGCAAATTAATTTTTCCTTGAAGCTTGCGCAGTTTATGAATGGAAATTTTCCCACATTTTCAGCTTTGACATCCATGAGGTTTCGTATCATATCCATCATAGAAAAACAATTTATGATCACATGTTATATCAGCAGCAAGTAATAAATGGAATGGTCACATACTACTTTCCAGACTAGAGAAAGCACAAATGGAAAATTGAATCAATACGTAAACCAAAATTAATAAAAACAACTCAGAAAATTATTGCATTCCTTCAAGATAAGAAATTTTGGTCATGAAAATCGAATATCTAGTTGTGTGTTCTTAAAAACTTAAACGAACAACACCAGTAACCTAAATTTGTGTTGTAACTTCAATTATTTAACCTATTCCTTTGCTACATGATACCAAGCTTTCAAAAATCTCATGTCAACGAAAATGGGGGAAGATATCAATCTCAATAGAACAAAATAGTGATTGAAATTTTAAAAATTAAAATAAAAGACAGAAGAGCTCCTCCCCAGAAAACTTTTCAGCCAATCTTGAGTAATATCTGAATCTCTTCCCCATCATCCCCCAGCTTTGAAAGGAAAATATCTTAGAAAGAAAGAAGGGGGAAAGTACCAATTAGCAAGAATCCTGTGTCAATGGATCAATCAATGTTGTGTGACTCGTTGAATTTGAAGCATCAAAATGAGTAACTTTCACAATTCAATGCTTCAGCATCCCATCACAGCACAATTGTAAACAAAGTTACCAGAACGTTTTCTGGCAAGCAGATGCCATTGTGGAGGTCCTTCACTAGGCACCCATGAATTGAGTTCAATGAATCCCTCACCATGAGTCCTAGGTCCACCAATGACAATAAGCCTATTTCCACATGCCCTGAATGCAAGACCCCAACCATTCATCGACACTGCGCGTTCAGGCAGTCTCCCAATTGTAAACCACAATTTTCTATCCTTGTCATATTTTTTAACCTCCATGTCAGCATAATCAGCAGCAAACAATTCATTATTTACAACTGCAACCAGAGGTGGTGCCTCAGCCGTTGCAGGCATCTCAGACGCCCTACTACTACGTCCTGGGGACATGTTAGGAATTTCTGTCCATGTTCTAGTCTGTAAATTGTATTCCTCTCCACACATCAGAAGCTTGGAATCACTTCCCCCAATTCCCCCAATCACATAAAATTTTCCATCCATAAATATCCCAGAACACATCTTCCTGGGTTTTCTCATACTTGGGAGTGTTTCCCATGTTTGAGTCTCAGAATTGTATAGTTCCGCGGAGTCAAGGATACGTCCCTCTGAATCACAGCCACCAGCTAATATTGCAATCTCCCCAAGGCTAGCAGAGCCAAACAAGCATCTTGGAGCATTCATTCTCATTCCAGATGACCATGAGTTTGTCAAAAGACTGTATCTAAAAATGACATGGGATCTCAGCTCCCTCCCAAACACAAGAAGTTCAGTACCTACAGCTAAAGATTCCTTATCAGAACACATGAAGCATTCATTGGAAGCCATCCTTGGTAAATGCATCCATCGTTGTCGAATTGGATCATAAGCTTCCCATTCAAGGAGGGCACATGAAAAATAAACCCAGTGTTCCATGATACCATTTAGTCTCCTCCATTTATAGAGCTCACCACTTCGGATTGTGTTACGGAAGCTCCTATTCAGTGAGGCAAGAGAGCCATAATCAGACCTTGAACAGCGGCTGAGACAGGCGATTGAGCTGTCTCGGTTCATGCGTGGCAAAAGAGAACCAGAATCTGATGAATCCCCAGCATGATTGTGCTGTTGCAGCTCATCAGATTGCTGGTCACTTGAATTCAATAAATTCTCAACATGCTGCTGCTGCTGCTGCTGCTGTTGCCGTTCATCTGATAGCTGAATACCAGAATCTGATGAATCCTTTGGCTGACCATGCTTCTGTTTATCAGATTGATGATCACCAAATTCCATTGAATCACCATCATTCTGCTGAACTTGTTCAGCAGGTAGCTGGTCAGTCCAATCTCCAACTTCTTCAACTCCTTGACAAATACTCAATATGGTCTCTTGATCCATTTGGAGAATAACAGAATCCTTAGCATGACAAGACTGCTGTTGAAACGAAATTGGAGCTGTTTCAACTCTATGGCAAGAATCCAAAATCTTATTACACTTCCTTGGCTGGGGCTCATCCTCGGCATCAATTTCCATAGGGCGCTTGCCATTTTTGATATCCAAGTCCAGAAGGTACTTCATGTAAGACCAGTCGTTCTCTGACTGGCATGAGCTAGAAAACAACCTCGGAACAACACACGAACGACCGTCCAACATCTCTCTGCACAGCAAAATCAAGAGCCTGTTCAGACAGAAGTTTTGAAATTCATTTCACAAGTCCCAATTTTTATTTTTTATTTTTCTTCTTCTTTCTTTCTTTGCATAAACTGAAACACGCATCACAGCACGAGCAATATAATCAATACCCAGAAACGTCAACAAAGCAAGAGACACGATTTCAGATCGTAATCCCTTCAACCAACTACCCAGACAAATCCCAAAAATCACATTTTTCTCACGATATGTATTTGAACAAAGATGAAATCGTAGATTAGAGGGAAAACCAAAAATGCCTCGTGTGATAACAAATAGAAAGATCCCAAGAAGCAAAACACGAGAACACAACACGAACTTCAATTGAACACACCAATGCAGAAATGAATCCAAGATTCCAACGCAGGAACAAAAATTTCAAATGTTGCACAGAACCCATTATTCGTTACGCCCCGGGATTTAACAATAGAAAACCAAATTCAGTTAAGATCTCCATAACTAATATCACAGAAGAAAACCCAGCCAAGCAAGGCCCAAATCAGCTCATTCACAAGGAAAGCTTGAAAATAAAAAATAAAATAAAAGAAAAAGCAGATACAAACAGTGCTTGAAACTTACAGGGTCAAGGTTAGATAGGAACCAAAACCTACCCAAAAAAAAAAAAAAAAAAAAAGGGGTACTTGATGGGCAATTTTCAAATTGAACAATAATCTTCAACCCTTTCTCTCTCTATTGCATGTTACTCTCAGAAAGAACCACTCTCTCTCTCTCTCTCTCTCTACTGTGTCCTTGGTTGTTTCTGGTTGGTCCTTTGAGAAAACTCTCTACAAATCAGATGGAAGGTTTGGTTGTTCTGATTTTGGAGCAAAATCTGAAAGAAAGGACCCTCTCTTTGTGCCCTTATCTCCGTTAAATCATATGTTAATATACAATTAAATAATAATGATAATTTCCTAATCTTATTATTATTATTATTATTATTATTTGTTTGATATGAATTTTTTATTAAAAAAATTGATTTTTCTTTTATTCAGAGATTGTCCAATTTTTTAAGGACGGAGAGTGGCGGTGGTGTTGGACGGTGGGCATGGAATGGTGGCGGAAGGTGGGGGTGGGGGCCACAAAATGTTCGTCGTTATGAACCGTTAACAAGTGAACGCCGTTTGAATAGAGCGAGAAAGAATCTGTTCCGTTTTGGGAACGTCTCTGCGCCGTTTAATTTTGATTCTAAATTATCGGCTGGTCAATTTCTCGTGATGGGGGAGGAAATCGCATGCGGCGCCGCGATGTATGACGTGTCGGGTTTTGGTTGGGCTGTCGTAGAAAGCCAGCCGTAAAATTTGTCTTTATAGTTTCTTAGTAGAGGTGATAAAGTGGACGTCATGTCTCGCCTCGTCAAAAAATAAATCAGCTTGTTCAATCATGTTTATGAAAATTGGCTGAAAAATTTAATCCATCTCGTCTCGTTTGGCGAGTTGGGTCACCAACCCAAATTTATTTTACACTGACTCGCCTCAATTTACTTATGTTCGTCATCAACCCGTCAAAAAACGAACATCTCCCGTCGTGCCCTGCTTTTGAGATGAATTGAAAAATTCAGCTTATTCCATCTCATTTAGTGGGTGAGACGGGTTGACTCGTCGAGCCGAGTCCATTTTGCCTGTTCTAATTGTGAGTCTTAACTGGTCAATTTTGATGGATCACAATTATATAACTATTTATTGGGTTTTTTATTCTTAAAAATGAAAAACCTTCTTTTACTGTTCTGGTAATGTTCAGATATGATCATGATTTATTATTATTACGAGCTTCTGTAAATCATGCTTAAGTCAAAAAAGGAGATTGTGCTAAATCTTCCAAACTTCAATTTCTTGTTGCCCCCACTTTTTACTGTTTGGTTGGATTTGTAACTGTCTGTCTTGTCGAATTTTAATTTTGCATTTGTGATTTTTTATAACAAAAAATTAGTGTTAACGCTGACTTTTTTTTGGGTAAAAAAATGTAATATTTTTATAGGGGGCAGGATATTCTTACACTGGTGTAAGAGTTAGAAGTCTTACACTCAATCTTGACCATTGATCCACTTGTATCCAATGGCTCACATTACTAAAAAATTTGAGCCCTTAGATATAAATGGGATCAGTGGACAAGATTAAGAGTGTAACTTACACTGGTGTAAAATGATCCTAACCCTTTTTATAGTGTCAAAAAATATTAATACTACCGAAATCTAAAAGAAACTAAAAACCAAATTATTATTGGTTAATTTTGTTTACTTATTTTTAGTTATATACTTTATATTATTTATATTATTGGGATATAAAGAAAGGAAGTTTAATACTTATATCATGATTGTTTCTCAAATTGTATTCCATTAATTTCAGTGGAATTTGGAATTCAAATCTAAGTTTTAGCATCCCCGTCAACCATTACTCTATACATTCATTTGTTCTTTTTCTTATTTAATTTGTTTATAGATTTTGATGGTTCATAAACAAAAATAAAACATGAGTCCATATTTTGCAATTAAAAATACAAAATGCGAGAATAATTTTAAAAGTATGTAATATGTGTGAGATTTAATGATATATTCTAAGTAATAGGAATGAGTGACAATTTTTAACATGACACAAAAAATTTATATTCGAATTGACCTATTTTCAAATTGATATGCGATTTGTGTTGATGAAAACAAACAATTTTTTTTTGTGTTGTGTGAGATACTAACCGGTAAAAGCAAAATTTTGCCTGTATTGATCTTTTTATAGGTTATTTATGTCGTGTCAACACAACATTAGCTTCAACATATATGCTATTTGTGCCTTATTGTATCATGTCAACTCGCATAATATGTAACTTTCTTTGAGGTTGATAATTTATTCATGTGGTATCGTAACAATGCACATAATAAGTGATACACTTTGAAATTGTGAGTTATTTGCGATGTGTCGTGTCTACATGTAAAATAAGTGGGTCGTGTCTGTGTCAAAGGTTTTAACCCATTTTTAAATTTGTGTCATATTCATGTTAAGTGCATTCATGTTCATATCAAATTTGTCTCATGTCGTGTTGTGTCAAATTTTAAAATTATGCATAATTATTTTTTTTAGTTCAAGGGGATCTAATTTATAATAATAGTGTACAAATAATTTAAATCTTGATTTATATAGAAATAATGTTAAGTAAAAGAAAAATAGGTTATTATCTTTTTGACGTTAGCTCAATGATAAACTACAGAACACTTACGGGGGAGGGGGACTTGAACTCTCCTAAATCCTAATGATCCTATCTCCTCTTCCCCCATTTTTATTTTCTTGGACTTCCTCGGCATTGTTTGTCCCAATAACTCAATTTGAGTCGTAATTAATTGGTACAAATTTTATGGGTACATATTCTTGTTTTAAAAATTGTATACAATGTATTATCAAGTCAAATCTCTACACAATGTACACTGTAATTTTTGTTTATAACTATTCTGATAATTAGTGATTAAAAATAATATGTTTACTTAAATTAATACTTTTTTGATTATATGTTAATAAATCCGTATGGATATAATTTAGTTCAAAAATAGTGGGATTGTGACTAGGTCAGATTTAAATACACAAAATTAATATAAATCAAACTATCGAACTTTTCCAGGATTGGCGAACCTTATGCTAGATCGTTCGAATACGGATGATGATTCGTCAGAACCTCCTCTTGAATTACTTTTATTTTTGCTTGCGAACTCCTCAACCACTCCTCTCGAATTAAGGTGTCAGTTGATTTTTTTTATTTTTTGTTTTTTAATTTTCCTTTATGTATAAAAAAAATACTAAGCTATTACTTGATTTAGAAGATGAAATTTTTTGGTTAATTTAAAATATTTGGAACCGTATCATACAATTTCTCTATTTAGTTGTATAGGAAAAAACTTCACAATAACTAATGTCTTAACTTTTAAAACCAACATCGAGTTTCCAATTTGAGATGGATTGTTGGAAACTTCGATTAAAATTACATAATAAAAAAGAAATGATTATAGTTATTATTTTTTGAAAAAAATATTTGTCATTTTAAATGACATAAGTTATGTCCTTCTAAGAAAGAGATAGATACAATTTTTTTTTTAAAATTTAAATTAAAAAAAATTACCCACTTTTTCCTCATAATTTTTATTTTTTGTGTCTATTTCTCTTCTAAAATGACATAAATTATATCATTTAAAATAACAAACATCAATTTTTTTTATTTTTTTTTTGTATATGTGGGGCAAAAGTGATATGAATCATATGATATATATTTTGTTGTCTAAAATTTGTAAGACATAACTAAAGACGGCAAATCCATGGAAACCTTGGGTCCTTGTTTATATTTTGTGCTAATATAAATACTTATGCTTAACTGAGTAGTAAATATTACATACTTATTGGATATATATAAGGTAAAATACGAAAATATCAAAACACCATTTAAGTTTAAGATTGCTTTGCACCATTAAAAAAAAAAGTTGAGGGTGCTTCGGAAGATACTCTGCTGTGAACAAATTGACTTGTCATTGTTTTGTTTTGTTTTGATGAGCCTTTGCACAATATTAATTTAGATTAACTTGTCTTTGTTTTGTTTTTGTTTTTCGGTTTGTCCTATTCGGCATCATTATTCCTTTTTTTAGTGGAAATAGTGTTATTCCTTCTTTATTGACACGTATAAAGAAGCATATAACGTTGAATTGTTGCTTATACTAAAAAATTAATAAAAAAAATCTTCATTATTTAAATGACATAAAGTTATATTATTTTTAATAAAATTATATTATTTTAGTGTATTTTTACATTTTTTTCTTTTATTTTATTTTTATAATTTTATAAAATAATAATAAAACACATCAAAATAATATAATCTTATTAAAAATAATATAAAATTATTATTTATTAAATGATAACAAACACCTTTTAATTTTTTTTCTCAATATAACTGTTACCTAGACGTCGTTTTATTTCTCTTGAAGTTTGGACGGATGCGATTCCAAAACCGTCACACACTCACACATACATTCTGGCGGTGGCCCCCACTCACTTTCCTTGTTTGATTCTCATTCACCGTTCGGCTCATATTTCACCTTTCCTCTCACCGTCTCACGAGATTTTGAGTATATTACCGTCCACTATTTCAACTTAGAAAAAAAAAATCTACATTTCTGTATATTAGTACAAAAAAATATTTTCTTTTAGTTACATTTTTATTATCTAAAATATAATTAAAAAATAAGAAAAATAGAGAAACAATCATAGCAATTGCGATTATAATTGTTTGAGCACCCACACACTTAATTTTAAATGAGTTATCATCACATTTCTAATATTTATTAAAATTTGGTTCTATCATTTAAACTCAAAATATTTTCAAATTCTAAGTTCTGGGTAATTAAATATAATCCGGGGGCGTTTGGTACGCGTTATTCTTCATGATTCTTGAGAAATTGAATTTTTTAAATTTTAAATTTTCAGATATTATCGTAAACTGAATGTAAAAATCATATTTTTGAAAATCGAGAATTTCGGACAAAAAAAAAATTTCTCCTCTACTAAATGCCTTAAAATAATTGAATAAAAGAGTGAGATTGTTTTTCT